AACTGAAGAATAACGCTCACATTTAAGTGCTACAAACGTATTTTTATGGCAGGCAATGACAGTGTTCTAAAAGGTTTCATTTGACCTTCTAGAATTTGGTACTCATTCCTGACTTGCAGGTCTAATTGGTATTTCCACCAACATGATTTTGAGGGAACCTGTGATAAAAATACGAATGAAGATCCAACTTAAAATCTAAACAGTACAGGAAAAAAAAGGGGTCTTTTATGCAATATGCTGATAATATGCTGTTTAAATTGACTCTTGGCACTACACAAGTTGGGCTGTATGAAAACGTGTTTAGGTTTGATGCAGTGAATAGGTTCATCAATGTAGTAAGATATATGGAGGCCTATTAAGGTACAATAACCTGTCGGACTGCAGCAGAGGTTAGCTCTTCAGCAAAAGCTTCTGAAGAAACAATTGGAAAAAATCATGGCTATCTGCAGGAATATAGAGTACCTCAAGTTAATGAAGTCTGATTCTATTTTTACTGGGATTTAAAAAGAAGATGGAAATCCTAAATTTAAGTAAATGTCTTCAATTCTAGTAAGAAAACTGTAAATTTAGTATTTTTTAATTCAAATTTGGCGTTGATATTTTTATATCTTCTAGACATTGTACCTTGTTTTTTTAAATATGTTTAAATGCTAATTTATTTATATCTTTAATATATTAAATACTAAAATAACTTTAGTGGTTTAAGCTGTTTTCATGTTCCTACTTCTAACAAAGAAAAAAAAAATCACATCTTTTAAAATATCTTGTGGAGTTAAAACTGGAAGAGAATGCCACTGTTTTGGGTTTGGGGTTTTTTTGGACCAGACTTCAGACGTCAACATTTTCAATATGCACAGAATGAGTATTTTTATGTCCATGAGGGAACTGAGTTTGATGTATTCTGTCAGTAAAAGATATCATTGAAGATCATGATTCTGGTTTGCTGTCTGTCTCGTAGTGTATGCGTGTGCATGTCTTTGCAGCTGAAAAAGTATGACAGAATATTGTACTTGGTTAAAATAAGCATCAGAGATAAGGAAGAAACACGCCTGCCCCAGGAGTTAATAGTTTGTCTGGACTATGTTGTTGCTTGGTTGTCTGAGTAGCTCTGTAGCCCAGGCTACTACAGCGTTCAGTGCCGATTTCTCAAACGAGCGTGTGTTTAAGAACATCTGCTGCCGATACGGATCTGTGCAAACTGGCACGAGATACCTGAATCATAAGGACGGCATCACCCTCAAAAAGCGTAGCCTTTAGGTGGCCTTTCTGGGTGGCACAGGAGCAGTCTGAACGATCCTAATGGATTCGCCTGAGGAGGTACAAACTATTGCCTGAGGGATATTTCTCATTAGATAGGGTTTCATTAGCCGTGACGTGTCGAACGATCGGTAAAAAGAGGCAAAGCACTTCTAAACATGAACTGAAATCAAAATGGTACTTCAGCTTCCATGTTTGCCGAGCACTGGTGAGACTTGTGAAACTGCAATTTTGTCAGATCATTTGACTGATGTAAGCAGGTATTGATGTAAACAATCCTTACAGCTGATTTAGTAACTTTTCTCATAGGCTGTCATGCATCAGGCTATAAGGCCCAGCTGTTTGATGAGGAAATGCCAGGTAGAGAACATTACCCCATTCCAGGCATGGAATTTGACAGTAAGAGGTAAGGAATGTGCACGGTAGTAGTAGATACTATAGTCTAGTCTTTAAAATTGTAGATGTCCTTTCTGATTTCAGATTGGCATTTACTTAACTGAAATTGCTGAGTATACTGTGAAAATTTGAGAGGAATAAAGATTTTTGTGGCTCAAGAGAAAATGTATTTTGATTCCAGTTTGATTATTTTTTTTAAATAGATTAAACAACACTCACTATCAAATACTAGTTCAAGTTCTGTATATGTAGTACAGTTGCTGGTGACATACTGCATTGCTGGTTAAATACTGTACAACCATTTATTTTGTATAATGCAGTTACTTTTTCTGGAAATAGTGAAACAAAAGTTCTGTAGAAACAAAAAAACAGCGTTGTTCATCAAAATAACAACTTGGGTTTTTTCGATGCTTAAAATACAAGCATGTGAAAACATTCTTACAAAAGCGATATAAAACTAAGGTTTAAATTGTAAACAAGCAGAGATGGTGGTTGGAGTTTTTATTTTTCTTCCCTTATTTCAACACTCTAAAACTAAAATGTCCTACAGGAGGGAGAGGTGGTATTATTTCATGTAAGCAAACTCCTTATCTTGCTATAGATAGATTAGATTCGAAGTTAAATGTTTTCAATTGTACTAACTACTCTAAAACTTAGGAAAACATATTTCATGAAGATAGAATTGCAAGATGAAATTATTTTTAGGTTAAAAATCTTACAAATTGTTTGACTGTTAGGGTTACTGAATATGCTTTAAAACCAAAACTACTCCTCAGGTGATATTAAATGATTGCATCTGTGGGTTTTAATAACACCCAGGCGGCCAACAAGCAGTGAGGACAAGGCGTGTGTAGCGTGTCTGTAGCAGTGTAGGGCTGCGCAGCACCCCAGAGCTTACAGCCTTGTTCCGAGGGAAGAATCAAGCATTGGCAGAGTGTTCTAATGGTTACTCCAATATATAATACGCAGTGATTGAGGAACATGTTTCAATAGGTAACATGCTTGCATACTTCCTTTCCTTAAAACAGAAGGCTTTTCCTAACAGTTTTTTTAAGTCTTTTTTTGCAAATTCAGCTAAACACTTTAATCCTTCCTGCAATGAAGAACACCTTAACACTGGTTTTATAATACCTTTTAATAGACTGAGTTCCTCAGTGTATCACCTTCATTGGTATAGTCAGCCTCTTACTGCAGTAAGAAAACCCAACCCTGTATTTCTTGTCTTTTATGTTATTCCTATAATAAAAGCCAAATATATGCTTCTCAGCACTATATTGTTGATTCATATGACGTTTGATTCCATTACAGTCCTACAAATCTGCCTTGTTATTCCTAGTTGGTATGTTGTATTTGTTTATCTTGAAGTGTACTAGTCTACTGAATTTTATTTCTAAAAAAAACAAACCAAAACAAACAAAGATCACTTTCAGAAGTGTTAGCAGCTGCTTTCAAAAGGTTGTGAGCTGCAATTTCACCACTTCCTTTTGTGCTTTCAATTTGCAGCCACAAATTCAAAAAAACCCAAAGAAACCACAAAATACAGAATGAGACATTGCAGCAAGCCTTTCCAGACCTTGTGTGGTCCGCAATCACAGTTCATCAAAAGGCCATCAATAACTACTCATCAAGCACAGATTTTCAACCCTGTAATCTGGTTTACTTGATTTACTGAGATAGGCCAGGAAATTGTCACAATAGCATTTCTAATTCCTTGTTATGAGACATCTCCATTTAAATATTTCAAAAAGTCTTTAATATAATTACTTGAGGTGTTCCCATGTACTTGTTTTGGAAGAGCTTTAATTTTTTAATTAAAAAAAAAAATTGCTGTGTAAACTCTCAAACACTCAACTAAAATTAGATGAACATAATAGTGATCCCTTAACTGTATTTGTAGCATCACACAAGAAAGTTTGTGGTGTTAGCATCAAGCTCTCTGGTCCAAACAGTACTTTTGGGAGGCATGGGACATACTGGAACCACTCTACCTCTAGTACGTAAGGTTGGGTCCCCGACAGGAAATCTGTATTTTATCAGATCACAAAACACAGCTATTTAGGGATTTCTTCCTCCTCTGCGTTCAGAAAGTTTGGAAGCAGGGAGAGACTTCTAAGGAGCAAAACTGACTAGCTTGTTGATCCCACGGAAGTACAAGCACTAAAAACTGGGATAATTGAGAGAGTAGATGTAATACAGAGGAGAAAAGGTTTTGCTCACTGTTAGTTTCACAAATTCCAGTCTTTCATCTACGTTGAAATCAGTGAGCCAGATGTATAAACATACTGCTGGATAGGGCCTATGAAATGTGACAGTTAAATGTAGTAAATTATATACTATTTTACTAAGAAAATAAACTACTTAAAGATGCAGATACATTTCTTTACCAAAAGATACTTGTAGTTGAAATCCCATAAAATGAGACTTTTACCTTGGGTCAAAAAAAAAAAAACAAACAAGCAACATATATGTCTAATTGTCCCACAAGTCCCAATTACTTTTTGGTATTTAAATGGAGGCAATTTTAAACACATGCATCGTGAATTAGAAAACTCTTCTTGCCCCTCAAAATGAAAAGGTGGTTAATACTGGAAGTGTTTATTCCAGTAAATACCAGTGCAATGAATAATAATGTAAAAGCCTATTACAGCCATTATCAAAAGGCAAGGTCAAATAACCCATTATCCACATCAAAACTCAGAACTTGCATCTCAACAGCTCACTTAATCACAGTGTCATTAGGTTTACTGAATTGTTTATAAAGAAAGGAGGCAATTAAAAGGCACTAGCCCTGTACCCCAAAATTTTAATTTTGTAGAAGTAAGAGGAGGCTTCTCGCACTAGCAGCAGAATACAAGGTACTGTTGAAATTCAGCTGTACTGGCACAGCTAACACATTGAGAGCTTCTTGAAAATCTGGGCGCTCTCACATCCACTTTCGCGAACTTTTCAATCATGGAACATATGGATTTTTTTTTAACATGTAGTGTAAATTATGAACCTTGTATGAATTACGTACTATATGGTTAAATTAACATATGGTATATATGATAAATATGTAAACCTTTCTGTAAGTTATAAAGTGTAAACAATGGAGATACTTTCATCTATGTAAGTTTATATAGTTTATATTTCTTAGAAAGTGCACTCTTTTTTTTTGTTTGTTTTCATACCTAGAACTCTTAGACATTGGTGGAGCAGTAACTGGAATCATTTTGGTGATAGAGCATTTTTGTCTCTGACAGGTGATTTTCAACTCTTGTAAACCAAGTACTGTCAGTAAATGTAAGAGCATCGAAACAGTTTTTATTGAAGAATTTACAGTTGCATTTACTTTACTTAGTTACTTTTTAAGATGCCAGCCATCGTATCTTCTTTTTTAGTTTTGGCAACTTGATGGAATCTTCTTCAACTCTTTTTGAAATATCAATTCCAAGGGGAGCTCTAGAAAATAATAAAATTATGTATTTGTTAAAAAAAACAACATTATTGCCATATCACACAGGTGTGCAGATTCACAGACTTTTTTTGCAATGAGCTTCAAAGTCACAGTATTTTTGCAGATTCCCTGCACTGTAAGACTGTGTCACCATTAAAATGGTCCATCTGAAGCTGTACCCAGAAACATCTTTACATTGAGCAAATGTTTGCATTTGTAGCCATTCTGAGCTCAGTAAACACAGTTGTGACTTCAAAGCCATCTTTTGAAGCTGTCATCTTATTTAGATTGTGATTTTAGTCGACAATTTGTTTGACATCTCACTGATAAATGCAAGACACAATAGAGATTCACTGGTATCTCTTTCTGTGATAATATTAACGTACAGTCTACAGCAAACAAAACAGTATTTTATTCACTGAGATATATAAAGCAAGGTATTTTTGAAGAAGAGTATTTTATCATTTGTCATGTGAAAATTATAAAACAAGTGTTTTTTCGTGGAAATGGAAAGAGGAAAAACCTGAAGCAAGCTGTTACTTTGGAAATAATGGAATTTTGTTTGGCCTTAAGCCTAGGATCTACTTAAATCCATACAAGTCTTACCTAACAAGTCAATAAAATTGGTATTATCAGTAAAAAAAACACTATTATGTTATATAATTTTATATATCAATTTTTTTAATGGATTGCTCATTAGGAATATACAGTTTGAGTTGGAACATTTTGATTTACGTCTACAGTGACTGATAAGCACGAGGGAGTGTATTACAGCTTAACTTGCTCCAGTTTTCCCATACCACAACAGTAACAGGAAAATACATAAAACACTTATGATGTATGGTAATTCAAGTTTCTGAGTCAAAACAAACATAAATGCCAGGCACGGATCATTTGTGTCTCACAACTACATTGGAAAGGAAGTGCTGGTAACTTTTAAAGTTTATATGCACTGCAAAGACATCCCTCATCAGGTTCTGCAGCTCTTTTCAGCCTACACCTCCTTCCCCTTTCATTGACCATAGTGAGCAAAGACACAGACTGGGAATGAACTGAGCCACTTACTTCGGTTCGTAGCGGAGGCCGTCAGTGCTATGTAGAACACCAAGTCCTGCACGTAACCTTTCGATGCCGTTCCTAAGCAGGAAAGCAATCAGGTGAAAATGTACTATCTGATTATGTGCGTGTGGTTCAGCCACCATCAACACAAGTTCCCGACTCTGATGTCAAGAACATCATAGAAACACACGCAAAGAGAACCAACTCTTACCATGCAATCATAACACCATTATCAGTGCAGAGTCTTGGAGGAGGACACAGAAAAGCAAAATCATTTGCATCTGCCAAAGTCTGTAGACCTTTTCGGATATACTTATTACTTGCAACTCCTCCTGATACAACCTGACAGCAGTTTCCAAAAGAAAAAAAGGCATTAACTCAAAAGTACTGATGGGTCACACTCAACTAACATCCTGTTTACAAAAAGGTTATCAGATGAAGTTCTGAAGACAGCTATAAATAACACATTTGAAGATTAAAAGAGATTCCTGAATAAAAGCATGTTATAACTAGAACAGCTGTCAAGTACTGGGGAGCACTAGGTCGAATTATGGGGCCTAAATTGTTAGGAAAAGTCAGATTAGCCAGTAAGAAAAATCTCTACCTTAAGATCAAATTATGAAAGACTTTATTGTAAATATTTATTTGAATATTACTTTAATGCTGGTGTTTTAATATATAACACCAACATTTTCAACACGGCATCTCCATCTTCAAATGTTATACAGTCAAATACAGAAAGGAAAAAAGAGAACATATACCTACCAAAGTTGCATTTTTTGATGGCAATATGCTATTTTTTATGCAGAACAGCATGGCTCGATAAGTCCGCTGGATAATATGAAGAGCCACTGCGTGCTGTACCGCAGCAGCGATATCCTTCACACAGGACAGGATCTCACCTTCTTGAATACCTGTAAGAACATATAATCAAACAGGTTCTCCTGAGTATGGGTCATCAAAAGCATGGTTTCCATCTGACTTTGTTTAAAAATACCTTCTTCTTTTTCTTTTTGTATAATGGCTTTATTGACAAGGTTCTGAAGTCCAGAAAAAGAGAAGTCACAGTTACGATACTGCTGCATGGGAAGCCTGAAGGTGTGCTGCTGCCGGTTTCCAGTTTGAGCCAAGTGCTCGATCGCCTTCCCCCCAGACATGCTGTGGCACTCTGGGTGACTTCTTAAAGAGAGTCTTCTTGCTACCTAAGGAGATAATAAACAACAGACTCAGAGCAGAGAGCTAGATTAATTCCTCCTGTAACTGCATCACTGTGTTGTAGTCCATGGAGTAAAATCAGACACCACAAAATCCAATCCAACATAAAATTGCAAACAAGGACAAGACGTGTATCGGATGGATTTTTTTCTGGAATAATCAGAAATGCAATTCTAGAACAATTTGGGCAAACAGGATCAACGCATTTTGCGGGAAACGTTAATTACCTAATTTTTATGCTATAGAAAACACACATGGACTGCCATACTGTATTACGAGATAAACGGGAACAAAGTTAGTTTCAAATTTTAACAATCCACTTTCTGACTACACTCACTCCCCCACTTTTTTAATTAATACACACAAATACTGTTTAAAAACTCTGCTTGTGTTTGAGAACAAAACAGAAAGTGACCAATTTTACAGACTGTACTCAGTGACCCAGAAAATGTAGATTCTGAAAGCCAAACCAGGCTTTTCCAACTGTGAAAAAAAACCTGGTAAGAAACACAATAGATACTGTTTTAAACCTGTCAGTGTCCTTGCAAATATCGCTATCAATCTTCTCAAATTTATACAGCTCGTTTGTATAATGGATGTCAATGAAACTCCCAACACCAGTTTTGGTTATAGAATCATAGAATGGTTAGGGTTGGAAGGGACCTCAAAGATCATCTTGTTCCAACCCTCCTGCCATGGGCAGGAGAACCCTCCACTACACCAGGTTGGCCAAAGCCTCATCCAACCTGGCCTTGAACACTTACGTTGTCTATTTGCTAAAGATACAATTAATTTACACATGTTACAACTGATGATACGCATAGATTTTTAGCAGCCTCTTGTGTCTTAGATGTATGGTATTTCAAAATAGGGAAAAAAAAAGTTAAGTAAAGCTCATATTGCACTGCATTACTGCCCTCAGACTGCTAATACTACTGTTATGTAGTATAATCACAATGAAAAGGAAAAAACCCCTAGATGGACTTGTGTGAGGAAATACTACCTTATCCAGCATGTCACCCGGTGCTATATCAATGGACTGCCCAAGCAGAAGGAAATCTGAAACTCCCTGTGCTACTGCCAAGATGCAGTGGCCTCCAGAGAGCAGAAGAACTAAGAAGGGAAATTCAACGTGGTGCGTCAGCCTGACGGTGAGCGCGTGAGCCTCCATGTGATGGATGGGTATGAACGGCTTCTGGTGCTTGTGCACCAAGCTCATGCTGTACCGCAGCCCCACGTCAAGGCTCGGTGCCAGTCCCGGTTTTACTGTAGTTGCAATAGCTGCAAGTTCACGCACAGAAACTCCACTGACACTAAGCGCTGCTTCTACTACTTGTTCGATGTTTTCTCTGTGAAGCTGCTGTGCCACCACAGGAATTATTCCACCTGCTCTAGTAAAAACAAAGAATTACAATATGTATGTCGTAACAGATAGAATGGCATAAAAACAGATTTCAAACACCTCTTCACCTTGCCATACCCTGCCTGTCTCCTTATTACATTCTCAAATATGTTGTTTAGTGCACAGGGCGTCTCTGCACTGAAGACAGCATAATTATCACCGGCAGGTCAGAAAAGGATGTAACTTGGCTTTTTTTTTGTACGCATACCTCTTAAAATCTATCTCAATGCTGTTCCAAAACAATGTCTGTAACTTATTATTCAGAGCCCCTCACTTGTCAGTTTGTGTACTTAGCCACCAATGTCTACATTTGATTCATTTTTCCATTAAAAAATGGAGACATTTGGTGGTTTTAACAGTAATAATGATTTCATCTTTAATTCAAGCTAGATAAGTAACCTGTCTCTTTTTGAAAGAAAATACTGGAGAAAACTTGTTAAATGCACAGTATTATTTCTTTCCTCACCCTTAGTAATATCTCAGGCAGAACGTGGTGTGGCCCAAGACACAGGTCTGTACACCTACTCACTTCTTTCTGAGTTTTCTGAAGGAGAAGACTTTTATTCGGACGAGTACAAGTAACAACAAAAGCATCAGTAAGGCGAAAGCCCCGAGAGAAGTACGCTCTTACTGTAAGTGGACTGCCTCCTGACAGTGCAGCGCTTCCCCCAGAACATTGCCGGCATCGTCCACTACCGCAGCGCCGGTGTCATCACAGCTTGTCTCTATTCCCAGAACTAGTTTCCGAAGATGCTGTTTTCCAGAGCGAGCGGAGCTGCTCCTCAGCCACGCAGCTCGGCCAGGCGTAACTGATTTCAAAAGGCTTCTGGCAACGCCGTTCATGGCTACAAGTGTGCCTGGTAGTTATGTCTCGAAAAGGACTGCACGGTTTATTTTCACCGGAGGGTTTCCAAGCACGTGGTTTGAGTTTCTGAGGAGGCAGTACGACTTTTGAAGTTACGGATGACCGCACATATTTCTAAGACCCTAAGGGAAAAAAATAATAAATTAAGAACCGGGAGCTAATGTCGTTGTCTTACCTCAGTCACGCTTCAGGGCAGTTCTCCATCCCCGCCAGCCGTGC